AGGTCCCGTGGACAAGCAGGCGGGACGTGCAGGCAGAGGGGTCGTGCTGTGCCCCGGGGCCCTGAGCAGCGCCTGATGCTCTCGGATCAAATGCCAGCTGGAGAGCGGCACAGGATGCCGTGGCCACTGTGAGCATCGGCCCCTGGGGCCTCTCACAGTGTGACCGTCACTCTTCTCGGAACTGGAAGACTCCAGGCAAGTCTTCCGCAGAGCCGGCCAGCGAAGGCGGCGAGGCCAGGCGGCCTAGGCGGGCCCAGAGCGCTGGAGACCGGCACTCGCGGGCACTGACTGGCACCGCGGGCCCTCCGCCCGGCTTCGGCGCGCGGCCTTAAATATTACCCCAGAGTTTTCAATTATCTCTTCTTAATGGATTTGCAGGGGCTCTTTCATCAAGCGCGGGGTGGCTGGGTGTGGGGGTGTGGGGAGCGCGCGGCGAGGGCTGGAGCTGGGAAAATGGCCCATATTTCAATATTAAAGCCCTTTACGATCGTCAGCAGCATGAAAGATGCTGCAAATAAAAGATCGCGGAGCCGCCGGGACCCCAGGTCCCCAGTGCGAGCCGCAGGGATCTCGCCCGCCCAGCCAGGCGGAGGGGAAGAGCAGTGGGCCCGGAATTCTCGGGGAGACATGGAAAAATGTCAGACGGGAAAGGTGGAGACAGGCGAGGAGGCTGGACGGTTTCTAGCATCTGACCGCGAAGCAAATACCTTGTAACTGAAGGCAAATGGCCATTGTTACTGAAAGGGAGGGCTTTTGGCTACATGTCCGAGGTCTTCCTCCCAGCGTCCTGCCTTTGCCCGTCTTCCCGCCAGCAGCTCCCCCACAACGCTCCCTCGCAGGGATTCCAGTCCTCCCCACCCCAGCCCCGACGCAGCTCTCCATCAGCTCGCCTCTGCTGGCAGCCGCGGCCCCGATTCGGGAGGCAGACATACTTCCTGTGGTCCAGCGGCCCCTGTTCCGGGACGTCTGCTTTCTCCATCACTGCCTCTGCTTCCCGGCTGGGCCCCCTTCTCCAGGCACTCAGGGCCGCGCGCACAGAAGCGCCACTGTTCTGCCTTGGCAGCGGCCGGCCCGACAGCTTGTGCCTGAGCAGCAGACCCATCCGTCAGGCGGGAAGAATGGAGCGACGTCCGGCTGCCCGCGCTGAGCACTCCCCGGGGAGCCACCTCTGGCCTCGGCCCAGACTCCTCTCTTCCCCTCTCCTCACCCCCCAGCTCTGCCCCCCACTCCCCTCCTTTCCCCCTTCTTCTACTCACCCCTCCCCCATACAACAGCTTAGGGCCTGAGGCCTGGGAGAGCCCCCTCCTCTCCAGCATCCGTTGACAGGTCCTTCCCCTACCCACAGCCACAGGGCACAACATGTAACTCTTTGGCTTAAAAAGATCCAGGGATCTCAGTGGACCACAATCCACGACTAAATCAATCGACAGGATTTAAACCAAGGGCTCTGGGCAAACGTGATAGAGCTAGAGGAATTAGAAAAAGGATACGGATTAAAGACATGGTCTTTATTCCTGAGCATTTACAGATACTTTGTTTCCTGAAACATTCTGAGAAGTCAAATTCTCTTCTCTTTGTGCTACAGAGCTTGCAAGCACCAAGAAAAAATAAAGCTTATTTTCTATTTTCTTTTTGGTGTGTGTTTGGTTTTGGTCAATTTCTAATAATCATCTATGATGCCTGCTTAAAATAATGCATGCTTAAGACAGGTAGGTGGTGTGGTAGTTAGGGATCTGGACTCCCACATGGGTGACCATGGTTGGAGTCCCAGACCTGGCAGCTTGCTTTCTCACTTCCTCTCTCTCTCTCTGGTCAAATTAAAAATAATAATGATGAATATAGTTAAATAAAATATTCTTAAAAATGAAAATACTAGTAATGCATGATTATGCCATATGGTTAGGAAGACAGAACACACATAAGCAGCATAAGGAACAAGTGTAAACTGCAAGTGCTGTTGGGATGCAGAGTAATGGCAGAGGGGTAAAAATGAAAACATGTTCTTCTTAATCAAGGAGGACTTCCTGGAGGACAGGAGGCTGAATTGGGAAGTAGAATGGTAATATGAACTTTAAAAAGAAAGTTCCGGGCCAGCAGTTGGTGTGGTGGTTAAGGGCTGGACTCCCACATAGCTGCCAGTGGTTCAAGTCTGAGACCTAGTGGCTTGCTTTCTCGCTTTCCCTCTTTCTCTCTCTCTCTTTCTCTGTCCCTCTCTGGTCAAATTGAAATAAATAAATAAAATAAAGTTCAATTTAAAAAAAAAGGAAGTTCCAGATGGAGGAACCATGGTTCTAAAGCAGGAACCAGTATAAAATACATTATATTATTTTTTAGGTTGAGGAGCAGATATTCTTGAGTACAGTTTATTTTCCCTGACAACAGATATGAGATGAAACAAGACGTGTGTGATAACAGGAAGAATTCAAAGTAACAGGTTCTTTAATACTGCTGGAGACTAAAGCAGCAAATGGAGAGGAACCCTGAAGCACTTTCTCCTAAGAAGTCCTCTCATGTGTGACCGTGAGCTATGGCAGGACTGCTTAGACTCTGGGAACCAGCTCCCACTTTCTGTCGTTGATTAGAAGGTTTGGAAGTCTGGTCATCAAGGCAGGAAGGCTCCCCCAGTGTTAACCACCAACACTGAGACAATGGGGAGGAGGGAGGGAGAAACTGAGGTCATTCACTCAATAAATATTGGTTGAGGACCTACTATGTGGCTAGCACTATACAAGGTACTAAGGATCTAGATGATCAGGGCATAATTCCTGTCAACAAGGTGCTCACAGATTAGGGGGAGAGACAGTTCGCTTATTCACTCTATTGTTTTTAATCAAAATTTAAAAAGTATCTAGCACTTAATGTGAGCCAGGCAGAGTTGCAGGCACCAGAGATGCAACTGTGAACAAGACAGACCTGCTCCCTGCCTTATCAGAGAACAATCTCTGGGGCAGAAGACGGGCACATAAAATAGGCAGCCATCAATGCTAGCAGGGGGAATAGTGGTTGGAGCTCTGGACTCCCACATGGCTGACTGCAGTTTGAGCCCCAGGGCTGGCAGCTTGCTTTATATCACTGACTCGCTCTTTCTCTTGCACACACGCATGCACACGCTCTATAGCAAATTATGAAATAATAGTAACAATAATAAAGTTAAATAAATATTCAATTATTTTATTTATTTATTTATTTTAATTTGACCAGAGAGAGAGAACAAGCCACCAGGTCTGGGACTTGAACCATGGTTGGCCATGCGTGAGTCCAATGCCCTTAACTACCATACCACCTGCTGGCCCCTAAATAAATAACTCTAAAAAAAAAAAAAATCAGGCCATCCTAATTTAGGGCAGTGTGTGCTATGAAGGAGGAAAATGGTTGCCATGGTGGGAGGACTTATTAAGGGCATCTGTGCGGGAACACAGGAGGCCATGAAAGAGACCACGCTAATGCTGTCTCAGAGGTTGTGTAGAAGAAGGGTGGCACGGAGCTGGTATAGTGGGCTAGCACTTGTGTGCCCGCTCAGCGTCTCATCAAGAGCTCATGGCAAACCGTGCCCATGCCGAGCATCTTCCCTCTAGTCACAGGGTGGCACTGGCCAGTGCTAAGGCGGCTCTTCCAACACAAGCAGGAAAAGCCAGAGGAGAATCCTAACAGAGCCAGCCCAGGGAATGAACTTAGCAGTGTTCCTTATTCTGCTGGGAAGCTTCTCCCTCAGGGCTAGGCTCTTTGCGGGAGGCTGGGAATGGGAGGGCACTGTGGAGGGTCTAACTCTCTCCATCCTCCCCTCAATGATAACAGTTTTGAAACAGGCTAGATTTTTAATAAAAAGAAACAGGTGACTTGTCTAACTGCAGCTGAGGACAAACCAGGACAACAGAGATTGTCCTCCCCAGAAACTGGCGGGTGCTTAACCAGTCCCCTCCACCAGCCATCCTGCCTCCAGCCACACCACCTCCCTGGAGCTGAAGGACAAAGCAGGAAAGGGGATGGAGGAAAGGCGATGGCATGGGCAGAGGCCCAGAGGTGAGAATGGCCCAAGGGATGCAGTGGGGAGAGGAAGTGGCAGAGGAGGTTGTCACAAGTACATGAGGAGTGCAATGTGCCAGGCTAAGGGGCTGGGGACAGTGAAGGCTCCTGAAGGGTTTTATGGATAAATTTGGACAAGTGCTTCCACAATACAGAAGATGGAACACAGCAACACGCCAGTGCTATCCAGATGTAAGGTTTTATTAAGCTATTCTTAACATTTTGTCAACTTTGCTCATAAGTTTTTAAAATAAAAAGGCGGGGGCAGCAGGTGGCATGGTGGTTAAGGAGCTGGACTCCCTTATGGCTAAGCATGATTTGAGTCCTGGGGCTGGCAGCTTGAAAAACACAAAGCAGGAAAGGGGATGGAGGAAAGGCGATGGCATGGGCAGAGGCCCAGAGGTGAGAATGGCCCAAGGGATGCAGTGGGGAGAGGAAGTGGCAGAGGAGGTTGTCACAAGTACATGAGGAGTGCAATGTGCCAGGCTAAGGGGCTGGGGACAGTGAAGGCTCCTGAAGGGTTTTATGGATAAATTTGGACAAGTGCTTCCACAATACAGAAGATGGAACACAGCAACACGCCAGTGCTATCCAGATGTAAGGTTTTATTAAGCTATTCTTAACATTTTGTCAACTTTGCTCATAAGTTTTTAAAATAAAAAGGCGGGGGCAGCAGGTGGCATGGTGGTTAAGGAGCTGGACTCCCTTATGGCTAAGCATGATTTGAGTCCTGGGCCTGGCAGCTTGAAAATCATGCTGGGCTCGTGTGCATGCATGCTCAAAATCCTGAGAGGAGAATGGAGGAGGAGGGATTGTGGCATGGCCATCTCCAACCCCCAGGGGTGATTTTACACTTTCCTTCTCTCTGTCTCTCTCCTCTCCTCTCTGGTGAGTGCACGTGCTGTATGGCAAAAATCTTAAAAACAAACCAACAAACAAAAAACAGACCATTACAGATAAATGTGAAGTTCCCTTTGTCCTCCTCCCTAGGACTCTTCCCCTCCCTGCAAGAGGCACTGCCGTCATGACTTGGGGGTGGCTCTTTCAGGCCCTGGTTTTATATTGTTACCGTCTTCACACACCTATGAATAACATGTTGCTTCAGTGCATTTTAAAACAAGCTGTCCAATAGTGATGATACAGATGGCATCTTTATTTTTGCACTCCACATTTTTAAAAGAGTCTTAATTTGAGGTTTTGGCAAAATGCCCACAAAAACAGACCTGGGTTTGTAAGATCACACTCGCTACGAAGCAGTGGATCCCAGGTAGCAGAGAAGGAGCAAGGAGGGTGACAGTGGGAAGGAGGGGATGATCTGAGCAGTAACACATGCTTAGAAGAAGGCCCCAGGGAAACTGGGACTTTTTGCTCTGTCCTTTGGGGGTGGGGGGCGGGGATTTATACTGGACTTTCTGTTCTTCAACACCATGAACAGGGCCTGGGACTTCCACTGAAGATGCCCAACGGTTCTTTGTTGACTGAGAAGCTGACAGGCGGAGGGATCCAGAATGCCTTCCATATTCCCCGCCCCACGTAACCGCTCAGATGATGGCCCTAGTCTCCAAGATGAGCACCCCGGGATGAGAAGTTGGACTGCAAGGAAAGATGAATCCAGAAGCCATCTTTGTAGTCCAAAGGAAGTGCATCCGTGTCCCACAGGAGGGCCTGATCTCAGGGAGCAGACCAGACTTTCCATTCTCGGGGCTGGAAATCCTGTAAAAGGTAGTCGAAGATGAGGGAGGACTTGAAGGGAACCCAGCAACTGCAGAGGGGGAAAGGTTTAGTCCTCTGGGGGCCAAGGGATAGTTTAAAAACCAATTGAATACAAAAAGCAGTTTCCTCAGAAGGCCAGGAGGGCAGAGCCCAGCCTCTGCATTACCCACGAGGGTCTGATTGCCCTTTGTGCGGTGGGTACCCGCAGCCCATTAGCCAAGGCAGAGGAGGAGGAAGAAGGTGTAATGAGTGATTCTAGAATCATAAAGACCTTGTCACACACCCACACTCCCAACCTTGCCTCCACTCCATATTCATCAATAAGATGGACAGGCGGGGTGCTCACAATTGCTTCCTAGGGACTTATTCTTGACCAAGTCCAGTCTCTCTATTAGGGA